CAGAAAAGCCCACAAAAAACCCAATGAAAACCCACAAAAATAACAACAAAACAAAATTTAACCAAAAAAGAGAAAATAATAAGAAAAAGTAAAGAAAAAATATAAAGCAACCACAAGAAGAACCCCAAACAAACCTTACTGTCCTCTTATCCATGGGAACCATTCATCTCCTTTCCCTTTCCCATCTACCGTCACAGACAACACACATTTGCTTTTGTCTGTGTAATCACAATGAATGGGTACACAATTCCAGTGTGCCTCTGCCACTGTTGCACAAAACAGTTGACTGAGCAAACCCAAAAGGAGCATGAAGGGGGTTCCTTTTAGCTGAACAAACAAGTGCTCTCCTTACAAGGTGGGATCGGACAGTTAAAAAGTATGAAGAAATATATAACAAACTGTTGCTCTAATACCCGTTTTGAAGAAGTCCAGTCCTTTCTCACTGGTCAGTTGAACAGGAGCAGCCTTTTCTAGATATGTTAAGTAAAACCAGTTATGCTCAGCAAGTTGAATAGTTGGGAAGCCTTCATATTGGAGGTGAAGGATTGACATTCATTGTGAATCATATTTTGAGTTCTCCTGCTGTCACACAACCAGCAGCTTTCCTTAAAAAATGGGAGCCAAGAACTTCCAAAATTCAACTATTTTTTTGCAACTGAATTACACTAGAAGTCTTTTAACATCTACAATACAAATTATCTCCTTGGTTTGATTCCATTGTTTTTCTATTACCTACATATTGTTGAAAGTAACTAGTTTATTAAGAATGCACAAGAATGTGTTAGCACAGATAAAGAAACTATTTTTTTTTTAATATATAGGACAACCGTTTTCATAAATGTGCAATAAAAACAGTAAATATATACTAGGATATGAGTAGTCAAGAGAAAAGATTGTAATATGCTGGTTTTTCATTGTTTGGGGTGTTTTTGAATTTGTTTACTTTTATTTTTTGTGGGAACATTTCACCTGCTGAGTGTATGAGAATTTGCTTTTTAAAAAGGCTTTTTAGAGTTTACAGTAGAATCAATGGAAGGAAAAGTTAATAAGGGCTGTTTTTAAAAACTTTACATTCCTTCCTATTCTCTAACTACACTTGGGAAGTGCACTTTAGAGATGTTTGCTGTGTAGCTGGGAAATGAAGGAAAACTATAGAAAATGTTCTCTTAGAAAATAAAATATAGTTACCTACTTTCTAGCTATGAAATACCCCTTGATAAATATTAATATTGTAAGAACATTTAATCACTGGTGCATAATGCGTTTTTGTATACAATTTACGGTCTGTTAAATTCTGGAGAAAAACAAAAAGAAGATAACCATGCTGCTTAAGCGGTTCAAGATGCAAATGTTAAGCTGCGAAGCTCAAATATTTTGCAAGAGTATTTGTTTTGATAGTGTTTTGCTACAACCTGGACTGAGGAGCCTAAAATGATCTGTGCAAATACGACAACAAAAAGCACCAGCTAATGCAAAATTCTTCAGCACTGGTTTGTTTCAATAATTCCTCCCTTCCCTTCCTTGCACATGCTATATTTTGTTCAATAAAACATGGTGCTTTTTTATTTATTTTCTTTTCTTTTAGAGGCACATGTATTAATTACAGTGAATTGATGCAAAATTGGGGGAAAATGTAGAAATGCAAAAGAAAAAGCCTTAACTAATGGTAGAATGTAGACTTTTGAAGGACAGAAATGTTACTGAAAAGTGATGGAGCAATAACTGGGCAGTGCTCTGGTACTGTACAACAGCTGACAAGTCACACTACTGAGAAAGCTCTTACTAGGTGAGCTCTTGTTCAACTGACCTCTTAATTCTAGTAAGTGTATATGGTCAGTAAACAGTTTGTTATAACCTTTATCTACCTCTGCTGTGCAAAGGCCATCCAACATCAATTTTTGTGATGTTCCTCATGGTTTTTTGTTCACACCATTACTCACTGTCATCTATTTTTACACAGTACCAATACAGTACCTAGTCTGATTCATCTTGATTAAATCGGCATCTGAAGAAAAGTTTTTATTATTTCTCTTTTGCTTCATGGTGAATTAATGTAGAGATCTATCTTTAAGGTATTTTATTTCTTCTTTTTTGCTCTTCTTCATTATTCATCCCTCATTTTTCTATAAAAATGTTTTCAAGTGGTGTCAGTGAAAAATTACTCCTCCACTGCTTGGCTACACTCAGTCATGTGTCATACAATATGAGAGAGACAGGAGGAAAAGCAGTGACAACAACATCACATACATAATGTAGCCTAATTAAACTTGGGGAAGATGAAGCAGAAAACAATTATAGACTTTCAATTCCAAATACAAGATGTAATAAATTCATCCCCCTCTCCCTACCCGGAGTTAGTGCCTGCAGTTCAATGGTCTGTGAATTTTCTCTGTCATCTTTTTGAGGTCTGTTTCTTTAATTTCTGAAACCAAGAGTCACATCGCAGTGGAATACTGCTGGGGTATCTGTTGCCATTTTCACCCTAGCAGTGTGGTAAGCAGCTTCTCTTGGTGGCACCTGGGACATCAGGAGTAGACAAAGACTCTTCTATGAAGTTAAGCAACATGTAATCATGTATGATGCAGAATTCCATCCCATCCATTCTTCATTCGTAATAGTTTTCCTGGCACAAACTTAAGCATGCTTGATATTGTGCACATATTACTTTTTTTCAGAATAAATTTGCATCTTGCCACTGCTGTAACTGCCATCTTGTTCCATTTCTCCTTGTACTGTATGCCTAATACATACATGATAAAGAGCTGGCTTAACAAAGAAGTAACACTAAACTCTTTCTGCAAAGGACTGATGAGAAGAAAAAGAAAAAAATATTTATTTTATGATCATATGGAAGAAATTAATTTCCCATGTCTTTTATCGTCTTATTTTCTACAATAGAGAAAATGCAGATTTTGTGCAATATGTTAATACTGCTAAGCCAAATGTCATATAACATAACCAGAGCTATATGTTATTCCTTATTGCACTTGCATTTAGTAATACAGTATATTGTTGCTTTTCTTTCATTAAAGAGACAGTATCTTTTTTCTTTTTTCTTTTTTTTTTTTTTTAATATAGCAGGTGAAGGCTATCCTTCTGTCCACCATAATTTAAAGACAAAAAACCAACAAAATGTTGGGATTAAGTTTTAGTTCTATAAATTACGAAACCAAGCCATCAGCTGCCAAAGACTCTGTGGAACAATAGTTACAAACAAAACAAAGATATTTCTTCTTGAGAGATAAAAACAATTTTATTCTGCATGCTTAAAGAAGAAAGAATAAAAGAATGAGAGGTGTATTTCAAACAGCAGAAATAGCAGGTGTCATCTGGTACACATTGTGACTCTCATCTTATATAGTTATACTCTTCTATTAAAGAGTGAGGGACAAAGAATTGTCTTCTGCTCTCTCTGCATTTATGATAATGAATGTCCTTTTTGCAAGCTTTGCCTCTCTGCACAGAAGACACCTGCCTACCATGAGAGCTGAAGATAGTTCATGCACACAAATTTACACAGTGAAACCTGTCTTGAGGGATTATTCAAAGCACAAGCAAAACTAATTTGTGGAGTAGACCTAGTTTTTAGGAAAATTCAAGATATATGTGAAGAGTCACCTAAACAAGGAGTCTGTGAAGGTGCCTGGTCCTTACTTCAGCTTTCACAATATGTCCCATCAGTGGCACAGCCCCATGATAAGCCCTGTCCAGGCAGGCTTCCAGCTGGGCTCAGAGTCATGCTGACTACAGTGAGCCTTGGTACAGGTAAAGGCATGCACCCACAAAAAAACCATGGTAGCACATACGTCTCAATTTGCTATCCCACAATCTTTACTCAGGAATTGCTCATGGGCATAGGGCATAAATAGAAGATCTCTGGGTTCAGCCCTAGCCAAGTCTTGACAAGAAATTGGCAAAAGCATATTAATGGCGAATGGTCCTTTTTTTTTATTATTGTCTACTCATATTAGTTTGGTGAAGGAGTGGTTTCAAAATTTAGCTATAAGCACGGAGGACAAACTACCAGAAACTTTGTCATTGTGGAGAAGAAATTAAATAGTTTTGTGAGGTAAAAAGAGACTGTCATCTTTCAGCAGCTGTCAGCAGTCTTTTAGAAAAGCTTGGGAAAATAATATGTCTAGTTCAGAGTATGATAATTCTCATTACAGCTAGATGATTTTGTGAGAAATAGGACTGGAGAACAAACTATCTCAACTGAGGGATATAATTTGCCAATATTTCCTACAGCAACCGTGAGACATTACATTACTGAACACCTCTAGGTGTCCAATACTTAACAGCATTTTTTCAAATGGTAACAAGCTTGATGTCTCCCTGGAGGGAAAAGGAGGGAGAGAGAACTACTGTC